CTCTTTCAAATCTGATACAGCCCTTATTTCAGCAAGCAGCTATCCCTCGACAGCGAAATCTTGAACAATGCTGTAGATATTCCAAGGTTTGTTGAGAATCTGGATAGGGACCACCTTTTTGAAGGCAGTGGGCTAAAGATGGCTGGGGCGGGCTGTTGCAGTCAACGTCATTGGCGGAAGGGCGGAGTGGGGTGTGGCCAAACGGTTTCTCGCAGTCTTTCCACCAGTTTCTTGGCAGCAACCGCCTGGCCCTCAGCCATGGTGCCCTCTGCCTCATTTATTTTGAAGGCACTTTTCGTAATTGCTTAAAAAAACCAAAAACGGGAAAGAAAACAAAGCTGTAGTGGACAACCTGATACCAATTTTAAAAGGTATAAGTTGAGATCTTAAAGGCAGTTGGCACGATGGTTTCCTACTTAGCCTAAAATGCTAGTAGGGCGCTGTATAGTGGGGAAATGGCGCGGTCAAAATCCTGCGAAGAAAAAGCCTCCGTTCTCAGTGACTTGAAAATCGATTTCGGACGAGTTTCCCGTAGGCATCTTACCAATCCGCTACCGAAGATACGGCTGCATATGTGTACCCATATGCATGCAGCATCACGGCCGCTTCATACCAATTACGAGCGTCAGGAACGGTCGTCCATTTGTGGGCGGGCGGGCGTGGCGGGCGTTTGGGACGTAATGTTGTGGCTTGATAGGGCCCTTATAAGGGCACCTTCCTTGGGAAAGGCGCTATGCAGCGCCTGCTCAGGGTCGCGGAATTCCGTCCTGCCAGGCGTATTGATCCTAGTCGTCTTGGGGATTTATCGTGCCAACTGCCTTCAAGGCGCATGAATGCACAACTGGCTTCTACTGGACGCAAGTGACCCCGCCCTCATTGGTATCCGTCGTTTCACTCATTTATATGCTCTCTTAGTGCACTTTTTTGATCCCAACGTCCCAGCAATTTCTTCCCTTGCTGGAGACATGTAGTGCCCTATTTGGGGCATTTTTGACGATTTCCTTCGCTTTTTTTCTTCGCAAGTTACTCAGCGCCGGCCTGCACAGCGGTTTGTCAACCCCACATCTACGACGTTGTGCTAGGCTTATCGCGAAATGTGCCTTTCAGCTCAGTTTCACTCGCGTTTTTGGTAGTACATTTGATATCGGCGGATCGGCCGGGGCGGGGCGACGGAATGCAATGAGCCCATTCGTAGCGTCTTCCACCACTGATTGTTTACTCCCTAAATGATCACTAAGGTAAACGATCGTTATTGGTGGGACACCTAGCACAGGACGGGCTCACTCTACGTATACTCACACTGCCGTACTGATATGACATCGATCATATCTGTCCTCAAACTGCAGTACAGTCTCCTACAATATATTCGTTGCAAGGCACGCTATATTGCAATCTCTTATAATTCTCCAATGTAAAGATTGGGCAGCATTTGGCAGCCCAATCTTTACATTGGAGAATTATCAGAGAGTCCGTCGCAAAGCTCGAAAAAGGGGAAAGGTTCTACTCTTCCGGATAGTTGATAATCAAAGACGGGTGGCGCGTCTACCACCCCGTTTCCCGCTCGACGTATGCTGAAGCGTTATATTTCGGACTACCTTCCTGGGCGCTACATGATTCTTCTAGCGCGCTGTGTGCCAAGTGCTGCTTTGGCAATCAGTGCCAAACACTAATATACAGGGATTCACTGCGCTAACGGCACATTCAAACTCAAAAATAAATATCACCAATATGGAGAGGTATATGATTTTTGATTACAGTGACATGATAGAACTTCCTAAAGTTGACAAGAGAGCTCTGACAGCGAGGCAGCGGAAGCTGGAGAAACAACGAAAAGAGAACCCCTATCATCTGTAAGTTTACATGTGCTGTATTTTAATCACAGTATTGCATTTCGCAGTATTTCGCCAATGATTTCTTCCCCTTTCTTCTAGAGTCCGATGCCTGATGAGATGATGATATACCTTTTCAGATTTGTACAGGACAATTTGATCATTCGTTCCGGCTTTATTGACAAGAAGAAGGGTCTATTCTCCAGGAGGCGGATGTTTCTTCTTACCGAGGTTTTACCTTTCTTTGCTGTTGCTCTTCAGGGCCCAAAAACAGATATTTGCGCTGAAATTTGCCCAAATGTAGATATTTGGGCTGGAAATTTCTCAATTTTTAGTCTTTTGAAGTAGCTTTCCTAATGGCGGTGAAGCACAGCCTCGTTTTCTAGTAGACAGATTCTTGATTCCATGGATTCACCGAACACAGCAACTTCAGGACTAAATCGAAACTCCTAGCGCATTTTCTTAAAGTGCGTGCCCAGCAGCAGTCCACATAGTGTACCACCACGTCAGTCGAAAGTGTGCGGTGAAAACGCCAGTGGCTGTTACCTAACTTCAACC